TGTTATTTGTACACATGGTAGGATGGTACGATTTCCACATATGGTCAGAATGTTCTATTTCCCATGTGGTAGGAAGGTACGATTTCCACACATGGTCAGAAGATGCTATTTTCACATGTGGTAGGAAGGTACAATTTCCACGCATGGTAGGCAGGTGTTATTTGTACATATGGTAGGATGGTACGATTTCCACACATGGTCAGAAGGTGCTATTTTCAGATGTGGTAGGAAAGTACGATTTCCACATGGTCAACAGATGCTATTTTCACATATGGTAGGAAGGTACGATATCCACACATGGTCAGAAGGTGTTATTTTCACATGTGGTAGGAAGGTACAATTTCCACGCATGGGAGGCAGGTGTTATTTGTACACATGGTAGGATGGTACGATTTCCACATATGGTCAGAATGTTCTATTTCCCATGTGGTAGGAAGGTACGATTTCCACACATGGTCAGAAGATGCTATTTTCACATGTGGTAGGAAGGTACAATTTCCACGCATGGTAGGCAGGTGTTATTTGTACATATGGTAGGATGGTACGATTTCCACACATGGTCAGAAGGTGCTATTTTCAGATGTGGTAGGAAAGTACGATTTCCACATGGTCAACAGATGCTATTTTCACATATGGTAGGAAGGTACGATATCCACACATGGTCAGAAGGTGCAATTTCCACACATGGTCAGAAGGTGTTATTTTCACATATGGTAGGAAGGTATGATATCCACACATGGTCAGAAGGTACGATTTCCACATATGGTAGGAAGGTACGATTTCCACACATGGTCAGAAGGTGTTATTTTCACATATGGTAGGAAGGTATGATTTCCATGCATGGTTGGAAGGTGTTATTTGTACATACGGTAGGATGGCATGATTTCCACATATGGTCAGAATGTGTTATTTTCATATGTAGGAAGGTACGATATCCACACATGGTCAGAAGGTACGATTTCCACATATGGTAGGAAGGTACGATTTACACATATGGTAGAAAGGTACGATTTCCACACATGGTCAGAAGGTGTTATTTTCACATATGGTAGGAAGGTACGATTTCCATGCATGGTTGGAAGGTGTTATTTGTACATATGGTAGGATGGCACGATTTCCACATATGGTCAGAATGTGTTATTTTCATATGTAGGAAGGCACGATATCCACACATGGTCAGAAGGTACGATTTCCACATATGGTAGGAAGGTATGATCTCCACACATGGTCAGAAGGTGTTATTTTCACATGTGGTAGGAAGGTATGATTTTAACATATGGTCAGAAGGTGTTATTTTCACATATGGTAGAAGGTACGATTTCCACACATGGTCAGAAGGTGCTATTTTCACATATGGTAGGAAGGTATGATTTCCATGCATGGTTGGAAGGTGTTATTTGTACATATGGTAGGAAGGCACGATTTCCACGCATGGTCGGAAAGTGCTATTTTCACATATGGTCGGAAAGTGCTATTTTCACATATGGTAGGAAGGTACGATTTCCATGCATGGTCGGAAGGTGTTATTTGCACATGTGGTAGGAAGGTACGATTTCCACATATGGTAGGCAGGTGTTATTTGTACATATGGTAGGATGGTACAATTTCCACATATGGTAGGATGGTATGATCTCCACACATGGTCAGA